CACGTGTCAGTATTTTAATCTAGAAGCATGATTAGATTCTTCACTTTAATCATTAGCACGCTTTTTTTCTGCGCAAAAAGAAATGTCTTTATTCATGCCGGGAAAAGAGCGTTTTAACAGAGGGAATCAGCCTTTCACTGTGTCTGTTCTAATCTCAGCAAGATCCCAATTGAGCATTGTGATTGTCTTTTGTCACCTCAGACTGCCGCTCTGACAGTAAAGGATTTATGGTTATTTCCTTCCACACAGCCTGTCCATCTGTGGCTCTATCTTCATATGGCCTTGAGAATACGATTCAATTTATTAAGGCAAAGCAATGGACTCATTACTTTAAAAAGGTGGCAAGAGAGGGAGTGTGCGAGAGAGTGGGAGAAGTGACACACTGAATTGGTTATTAATGGAAAGGCACAGCCATAGGGCAGTTGAAATTTAATGATATCCTACAAGAAAATATGAGGGTGTCACTCTCCAAAAAGTCATGCTAAATGTCAACATTTTAAGGTCCCGCCGCTAATTTTATGCCTGTGCACAGTAATGTTTTGGAGAGCATTTAGGAAACACGGCCCAGTGGCCAGCCTGATTATCCCGCTCACCTTCTCTCCTCTCTCCAAATGGGTTTGTGCATCAAGCGATTTCATCTCTAAGTGAAGGGAACATTAGTGAGGGGAGAAAGAGAGAGCGATAGAGGAAAACATGCGGTTTGATTTTCATGCTGTGATAAGAGAGTGGGAGCCAAATGTTACCTGTTAATCTAGCCCAAACCGACCGGGGCTCTTGACTTTGTCCCCCAGCAGGGATGGGGCAAACACTCATTTTCCTCTCTCCGTGATGAAAAGGAAATTAGCTTAAATGTGATGAGGGCACATTAGTGCGTGTGCCATGCATGTGTGTGTAATGTGCGTGCATGTGTTTGAAGGTTTCTTTTGTTTGCATACATCTGCTTGCATGTTTCTGCAGCGTGTGTACAGAACATTACCCACACATACACACAACATATGCAAGCGATAGTCACTCCAAAGGAATTTGTCTTGTATGGATCATCACACACGTTCTCTCGGTTTTTCCAGTAGGTTTTTTCCGTACTTTGAGGAAAGTGTGCCTGCAAGTCAATCTTACCCTCCAGTAGTTTGATTATATACTATCGTGTACAATTTTCTCGTCCAGGTATCGTGAATAATGTTCTTATCTCATGAAAAGCTGCTGTCACAACGGGGCAGTGATTTTAATTTAAAAACAAGAAACATACAATATATCCATTTATTAAAATAAGCCCATGACATCCTGTTTAAAAGTATCAGGCGGTTAAAGCAGGATTTATTCGCCTCAAACAGCCCTCAGAGTGCAGACATCATTTGCAAGATAAGCCAGACTGCCTCATGTTTTTTTAAAGTGCTCAAATTGCATGCAACTACTTTTTTTTTGCCCAGCTCTGCATCGCTGAATTTGTACCAGAAGACAGATATTTCCCTTGACAAGATTTTTTCCAAATCCGGTGCTTTTAAGTGCAGGTGGAATAATGCTGCGTTAGCTGCTAATGGCTGTCCGAGAGGTCATAACTACTCCATTTGAAGGAGGCTGGTTTCTCCGCAGCCCTGGCAGGTCAAATCAAATGTAATTGTGCAGTGAGAAGCAGTGCATTGCTTTGTGTTGGCGGCGCTGACAACCGCCGGGTTTAGCATTCAGTTCTCCTGCTGGGAGGAACACAGGTTTGCAAGGACAAAGGCTTCACCTGTCAATATATCACACTGACTGGCTGGCCAAATGTACCTCTGCACTCCCTCTCTCTTTCCCCTCTCTACTATCTCTCTTCCTCTCTGTCAGCCATTCATTCTCCACACACCCATTTTATTCCGGCCTCCTCTTTCCTCAGACTCTGCCTCACCTATCTATCCATCCATCTTCTGTCTTCAGCCATCTATCTCTCCATCCTGGCATCCTCCTCGTCCCCTTCTCCCTCTCTCTTTTTTGTGTGTGTGTCTTTCTGTATCTTCCTCTCCTCCCGCTCGCGCCGCCTTCGTGTGAGGACTCTGCTGAAATGTCCTGAGGGACCCAGTTTCAAACACAGGAACCAGAAACATATGGCACATTTTCAACTCCCAAGGTCAATTACAGCTATTTATCCAGAGATTGCAGCTAAATTTCCCAAGGTTTCTTCTAGATTTACCACAGATTGCAATGTGTGTCTGTCACATTTTAAATCAGGCCAGTTTCCTCTGCTCCTCTCTCTCCACTCCCTGCGACGTCCCATCAAATATTTCAAAGGCTTTCAAGTGGGTTTTAGACATGTTTTATCTCTGCTTATCATGTGCCCCATCTTTTTTGCCTCAGCTTTGCTAGGTCCAAGTGCCGCTTGCAACACAAATCTAATAACATGTAAATTGGAGATAAGCCCAGATCCCTCCAAGTGATATTTTTTACATTCATAGTTTGTCAAGTCAATTCCTGGGCCCCTGTTTTAGCAGCACAACACATGAGGAGTGAGAAAATTAACTGGATAGGTGATTCATCATCGCTAGCACACTGTCAAGGACTCCCTCTGCAGCTATTGAGAGCAGGGTGGAGGAGGAGGACGGAGAGAGGAGGGGGACTTTGTTTTAAATTATGGCATTTCATTCAGAATGCATTGTATTTACAGCGTCCCATTTTTATTTGTGGCTCCTATTATCCGCCGAAACAGTTGTGCATGAAATGTTATTTGTGACAGGGGTGACCTGCGAGTGTTTTTCCACACAGTATTTCATAGTCGGGGCCTTAACTGTACCTTTACCGTACGGTAAGCACAAGAGGCTGTCACAGCTGCTGTTGGCAGCCTTGCTAGTGGAGAAATATCACCTGGAAACAGAGTACTCCATTCCACTGGCCCCCATCACTCCAACGCCTGTCGCTGTAATTAAGTTGAAGTCAATGATTCTGGAGCGATGGTGAGAAATAAACATGCAAACACATGCCAGGATTTGCTGCCAGGCACCGGGAGAAATAGCGGGAGGGGGATAACATTAGAAGCACAGAAACTACAGATCTACGTCGTGTTTGCTACAATTTACATTTGAGTTTCATTAAGCCAGCTTTGATTATATTGATTGAATTAGTCACTTATTAGCTTACCATTTCTTTTCTTCTTTTTTCTTTCCTGAAAGTGCCACTTTTTATGCACAGCTCCTGGTGGAAATGTTATCTGACAAGTGGTGCTGTACGGTAGTTGGAGTCTGTCGAACAAAACATGCTGTTTGCTTTTCCCAGAGCATGACAGGTTGTTTCCCCTGCAACAAAGCCATCAAATATTCTGTGTGATCCAACATTGTGTTGCAGGGGAGGCCTGCTGAGTGGGAAGCCGGAGTTTGTTAAAGCAATGATTTATGATTAATGCCAACACTAAATAAGGGACAAAGTGCCTACAGTACAAATCAATTACAAAGCTACAACAGCAGACCTTTCCCCGAGGTCTACTAACGTCTCTAGTTGTTATGGTGATTTCATTGGAGGTGGTTGATGCATGCATATAATGCACGCAATACATCTATATCAACCTGAGCTGGAGCCAACTGTAATGCTTTTGATCTTTGATTAGTTATTTTATTGAGATAAAATGGGACTTTCATGCTTTGCCACTGTGTGAGGAGAGTGCGTTTCATATCTCCACCCAGACACCCACCACAGAACGCAGACAGGACTGCACCAAACAAAACAAATTACCACAGGAGTGGCTTCTTAAAAGTAGGCAATTCATTATTTTTATGAAGTCAAATTATAAACAAATTTTAATCCATTAGGCAACCATCCATTCTAATTAATCAACAGGAGTGAACTCCATCTGAAAAAGGAGAAAGGTTGTTTACTCTCTCCACGGACCAGCGGTGCATATTTCACCGTCTTCCCCTCGCAGAGAGAGAGAGAGAGAAAAAAACATTCTCCAAATTACAAACCTAAACTCTGAATCCTAACACTCGACTTTTGGCGCAGAGATGTTTCCAGGGCATTTGCAGATGCTTGAAATAATCTCCAATGTTTTTGCTCAATCTGCTCTGAGGATGGGTGAAATAAATACTTTAAACTAATTAATGTAAGACCAGCTGTTCCCAGCACTTGGCTGGCGTCGGTGAATATTGATGGGAGGGAGAGGCAGGGCTGTTCAGCTCCACTCGCTGTATGTACAAGACTCAGGCTGCCACATAAACAGAAATGAATAGTGGATGAGAGCAGAGAGGTGCTGTACACAACACAGCCAGGGTTCCACATTACAAATAAAACTTTTCCCTACTTTCATTAAATTAACAATTAAGCAGCTGATGGTGCAGACTTCCTACGGAGACCTTTTTACGCTGGATGTGTTTAATAAACTGTCACTGCGCAAGATGGTAGCACTTACAAAATTGTTGGCTCGGTAAATGCTCACTGGATGAAAACATGTGTCGGATCTGATGGGACAACAAACGCCAGTGTCTGACACACTGTTTTAGTTTGACCAGGCTGTATCTGCCGGGTTTCGCCTCCTGCTTTCGCCTCCCTCCCTCTCCTGCTCCTCTTCCCTCCTCTGAGGCCTGGAGAGGAGGCTGGACAGCAGATGGCAGAGCCCTACCCCTCTGCCGGTGATGAATGGAGTATGATGTCATCTTAGGTTTGACAGGCACTCGTGCGTGCATACACAAAGGAAGCCTGAGCCTCTGGGGTCGAAACTGCAGGCCTGCTTCTGATTTTGTCCACATGACATCTCTTAAATGAAGCTGGATTTATGACCTGGTTGATATTGTTTAACTCCACATTTAGGCCCTGAGAAGAACAAATACAAAGGCATCTCTAAAGTGCTTGTGCACCATGTTTGCGAAAAAAGGGGAAGGGCAGGGATTGGCTGCTGGAGATCAATACAGACCCGGTTGGTGCCAGCGGGTCAATATGTGTCAGCATGACCAAAAACTGCTCTCATATTCTACTTCACTCATTCCTAGTTGTATAAATACATTTTTTTTTTTAATTAATTGTCAATGCTATTATTTTCTTTGCAGAGGACAACCTGATGTGCACCCCAACAGCAAGAGACAGCTACGAGAGGTTGTCGTTGGCCGGACAGGCTCTACCCCCTGGCTTCCCTTCACCATTCCTCTTCCCAGATGGTTTGTCATCAATAGAGACTCTACTCACAAACATACAGGTATTGTCAACTGAATGAGTTGCACAGTTCACGCAATATGACACGAACTGCTGGCATCAACCTCTGGTGAATACAGGTCTCCATCAACCTCAAGGAGGTCTGGACAAATATAAAGATATTTGAAAGTATTGATTGTGTATGTTCTACCTCCCACTTAAAGTCAAGAGTGGTGACATTACCATTTGTGTGTCTGTCATCATGTAGTGACTGATTTCCAAGCATCACCCAAAACAGCCTATAAATTAATTTTTGACCTTTGGACTTTTACAAACAAATATCTTTTTCTCTACTGTTTTCATCCACAACTAATTCCATCCACTGAAACTTTCTTTTGCTTGTGGTTGAAATCTTCAGAAATATTTACTTTTTTGTCCCTTCTGCTGATTCCAAACTTCCACTAATTGTGTAAATATACATACCCAAACGAAACCATCTACTCAGACCGTCATTAACTGAAAATCCTCTAGTGATTCCTGTAGTTACTGGCGGTAACAGAAAATTCAAATTATTACTACAGCTCACATAATTCTGAGGGCAATAAAACAAACTAATGTCATTTTCGTAAAGAAGTTGAGCAATAATTGGCTTTTACCATTATTCTGTGAGCAACTGTGATGTGATTTTCTGCAAACAGCAGGACGCACTGAGATGTTGGAGGTGTGCAGCCTGTCGCCTGCAGCTCGTCCTCTAACAGCTCACTGTGGCTGCTCCTTCTTGTTCCATTACTCCCTGCAAATATATAACTGTTGCAGTATTTTCATCAGCGAGCCATAGGCTCAATCACCACTGTGTTACCTCACCCGGCGACAGATAGTGACTTAACAGACATTTATTCAAGTGAAATATATCAAGATTGCCACTTAAAGGCTCCATCTCAAACGCCCTCTGTCAGAAAGATGAATGTATTTGCCTTCTGTCTGAGTGTAATGATGTGTGTACACTGCTGCCCTTCTCATTGCACTTGGACCGTTGGCATCAGAGTCCTGCTTTTCCTTTGGCTCCGTGTGGTAATTAGAAGTAAACCCGTCACGTGCTCCCACCACTCCACCGAGTCATTTTTGATAATGATCTTTGCCTTGAATATTTATATAGAAATCAACAAAATGAAACCAAGCAGAAAATTAAGATAAAGCAACTCGGAATAAATTGGGGTCAGAAGAATCAACAATTAGTAAGATATAGCCCAGTGCATTTGATGTGATAGCATGCGGATGGGGAATAATTGTGATGAAAACGGCGGTGGTACTGTAAAGCTCACACATCCCTCAGTTTAGGGCTGTCAGGAGTGTGTTTGGAATGGCAGTGATGTAATTGATACATGATGAGATACTTGTCATTCATATTATTCATTCCTGGCTCTGTGAGGAGCATGAAAAATGCCACAGAGACAGAGACTGTGTTGTTATACTCATCCAGTTACAGTTGTCAGCAGTGGAGTCGAAGGAGATCAGGAAGAAATATAAGGAGCTACAATGGAGTGTGAAGAAGCTGACTTAGCCCATATAAACCTTTTACACTCTACTTAACAGACTGGAGCTTTGTCCGAAAGCTATTTCATCTATTTCAAGTTTTAATTTGAAGGTGCTGAACTGTGTTTCCTTTTTCTTCCCCAAGAAAAATTGCTCTTAGTAGATCACACACCTCAACAGGCTCAACAGAATTAAAACCCACCAGAACCAGTTTTTACTTGGATCTGCACCAAAAACTCATGGATATTGATCCCTAAACATGTTTACATGTAGAGTATTTATCATTAAGATCAATAAATTACGCCCTGAGGACTTGGTGAAGATGAAGTGCTTTAACTTGCAATGTTAAAGAAAAAGATAAATTTGCCCCTTGTCCAGATCTGTGCCAACATTTAAAGGGTTCTTTCTTGGCCCGTCTCCTGTCCAAACAACAAACCAGAAATGGCGCTCAGTAGAACACAAACCTCTGCCAAGGCCCAACAGTCCACTTGAACTCAATCAATCATGCACCAAACTTCACACACCCCCTACGCGTGATTTATTTTTCATCAAGCTCCATGAAATATTCTCTGAGAAATCAAGGGAAATGTCGAAATGTTTAAGAAAGTGAAAAACAGAAATCCGCCCGTGATCCAGATCCGTGCTAAATTTATTGGGCTCTCATGTGACTCAGATCACATCCTCACACCAACTGTGGTGGAAATCCATTCAGTAGTTTTTGTGTGTTCTTGTACACAAACAAACCAACAAACAGAAGTTGAAAACCTTGTGCGATCTGTGCAGCAGCAAAAAGACAGTGACATGTTCGCTGATGAACCGAGCGGCAGAGGTGGAAATAAAGGAAAATGAAAGGAACCGTGTAGCGGCGGTCAGCTCAGCCTGTTCTGCTCCACCACTGTGGACAGTACAAAGAACCGCTGTGACTCTCCCTCACTGTGGTTTGCTGTCACTTCATCTTTCATGCACTTAAATAGCCCACATCACCCTCTCTTACCCTCCACTCCCATCTCCTCTACATCACTCTGTGTGTGTGTGTGTGTGTGTATGTGTGTATATATTCATGTGTGTGTGTGTCTCTGTGTGTGTTCATGTGTGTGCACAGGGCCTGCTCAAAGTGGCAATTGACAACGCACGGGCTCAGGAGAAGCAGGTGCAGCTGGAGAAGACGGAGCTGAAGATGGAGCTGTTCAGAGAGCGGGAGCTCAGGGAGACTCTGGAGAAGCAGCTCGCCATGGAGCAGAAGAACAGAGGTACT